GTACAGGGTATATAAAATGAATATATCGCAAAATGAAATCAACTATATAATTTATAGTAGTGCTATGTCAACGATTAGTATCTACCATTACCACCAAAATAACTACAACAAAGTATCACTTAAAAGGATATACTTACACATGCTTTAGAAATGATTAGATAAGATAAACCAATAGTAGCATTTACCAATAGTGTGAGTAGAGATTGTTAGTGATCAGTGGAAATGAAATCAATTGCTCAAGGTGGTGCAGGTTGCACTTCCATAGTCAATGTTGGATTCTTGGAACAACAAACGTAACCATTGAACTGACTGTCTCCAATATATTGTGTACAATGAAGCAAAATGATTTTGAGAGTGCCATGCACACACGCATACATACACATATAAATTAACTTGAAGTTGTTTATCGGTAAATGTAGATACAACGCGCGTATGAACAGATATATAAACACATTTAAAGAATACAGGTTTAAACATAAAAACCTTTAGCTGAAATCTTATGAAACTATTCACATTATTGAATTCAAAGTTTCGAATATCCAAGGATACATATAATTACATTTTAGTTTACTCGAATCTACTATCAGTGAATCATGGAAGAAAAGAATTGGCGATCCAGTATCGTTTATATATATATTATTAATAAAAGGTGTTTGAACGATCATTGAAACATACTGGGTATATATCTAAGATACAATGAGGATAGCATACCAGCTATCAAACCATCCTATGTGCTTCTCACTCAAACCGCTTCTAGTTGGTGATGTGATCAGAGAATGCCTGGTGCTTAAATTCTGTGCAAATTTTAGAATCTATAGTACCTGTCGCTCAATGAGCTTCTCGACGTATTCGACCGTTCGCACGCGACGTTCACCCGTCACCTCATCCACATACTCTTCGGTACGTCGAGTGACCTTCTCGTCCACTACTTTTTCCGATTCGCGTATCTCTTTAGGGGGACCCACCTTGCTGCGTACAGCAAGTTTGGGGAAATCTGCGCTAGACGGCCGTAACGTAGTAGCGAACTATGGTAGTAAGACAAAGAAGGCGGTGTTGTAGTTACATAACATTGTAATACACGGAACACTAAGTTAGAACCACAAGACGAGCAAAGAAGTAATTAGTATATAAATCAGGTTAAATCGGTATAAATCGACAATGCTGGTTAATTCATTTCAGACGCATCGTTAGATTACGTAGTTACTGATCGTATAACCGGTAGATGCGAGATGGGCTTCGCGAATGCTTACATCGGCTGGCTTCTCTGGCTCAAAGATAGGACTAACAGCATCCGTAGAGTCTACCGGTGTTGTATCCGTCTTCTGCGTGGTGTCCATCATTTCACTCATTTTTTTAATTACTATCTGTGCTTGAAGGGCGTCCTATAAATAAAGTTTAAGATGATGTTAATCCAAGTGCATCGAAGCCATTAAACATAACTCCTTTAGACTATATCGTTTCTGTTATAGTTCTTCAATGGTATCTCGTGTGCAGATCTCAGCAGATTAATTAAGACTTAAATTACAAACGTATACTTTACTTGTTCAAGTGATTTTAAACGCGCTTGTCTCCACGCAGCACGTTTTTCTGCCCTGAGTGCTCTCTGCTCAGCTGGACTCAAGTGACTCTCTTCATCTTCATCTGATATGACACCCTACAAATGAAGAATATCGTCAGCAAGAAGATACTACTGTGTAATACAATCTTACTTATTATTACAAATCAAAACGTATTCGTCTATAGATTTCTTGTGTTCGCATTGAATCATTTCAATCGGTTATTACAATATCAATAAAGAATACCTTCTTGAGAAATATATTATATGATAAAGTGAGAGTCATTTAACGATGCTTCGATTTGTCCAATTCTATTAAGAATGATTTGTAACATGGTGATGTATTGTTAATGAACAAAAAGAAACTGCATTGATTAAAAAGATTCAATAAAATCAATACCTCCTGTACCAATCTCTCCTTCAAGCGACGTTCTGCTTTCGCTGTCCGTACACTGCTTGGAAGGTTCTGCAGAATGGGGATCGAACTTCGCGAGCTCAGTCGGCTACTGTAAGGTAACGAGCATGCACACTGACAAATCATATACATGTGCCAAAGTTTGAATGTTTATTCGTTAAAAAAAAGAGGTACAAAAGCGACGTTGAAGTGTACAAAGGCGGGAGGGATATTACATGACTTATATACAAACAATAAAAATTATAAAATCAAACTACACTACACAACACCTAAATCTATAGGTAATAATAGGTTCTAGGAGACTCTAAAAAATAATTATATGCGCGAATTATTGTCTATTTAGAGATGAATCGTGTTTCTATAAATAAAACCATGGATAAATGTTAGTGTTAAATAAATAATAAGTAGAGACTGCGGATGTGTATGCGTTTACAAATATTTTAACAACATTTGGAAGTATTCGAATTCGCCGCTAACGCGATAGAACGGTTCTTCTGTGCAATTCGCTTAAGGGAAACATAAGATTTGCATAAAGATCCGCAGCCGAGTAATAACTATTCTTCAGAATCTTTGAAGTGCGCTTGCTTGCAGTGCGTGTGATGAACGTGTGCTGAAGCATACATTTTTTTGTGCATTGTTGGAAAGTATATTTCAGTATACATAATCCTCGTCAACCTATCACCTCGTCTCAATTAATTATATTATGCATTAAATATATACTTATGTAAGCATAACCACAACCTTAACCGCAAGGTACAATGTAAATGTGATCTCATCAGCCTATGTATAAATATACGTTACTTCATTAAAAAAAGAAAGCAATCGCTAACACATAATAAAATTATTTGTACGCTGTATCTAGTTAAGCATGCATAACGTAATAAAAATAATAATCAAAACAAAAAGCACCCGTTCGCAAGATATATACATTTAAAAATTTGAATTTGTCGCAGGTATAAAAATACTGATAATATGTACATAATATTGAGCCACTCTATAACGTTCATTTAAGATGTTAAAGTTCTGATCGATTCTAAGGTACAAACTGACTATAAAAATATTTTCTGTATTATACGTTCTGACGTTTCGATTACTAATCAATTTTATAATTTAGTAATAAAAGGAATTTAAGTATGTACTTTAATTAAAATATAGCTGCCTCGTAAAATACTTATATAGTAAAAAGGAATCTAAATCTAACATCTTACAGTTGGAAAAAATAACTTGTATAATTACACTGTTTTATATTTCTATATACAGGAATATGTTTAAACTATTAATGTGCATTAAGTAGAATAGTGCTGTAATACTCATGTATGTAAATACACTAATGTAAATTACTTCTCTTATACTTTTTGTTGTTGCTTTGTTTTTTTTGTTATGATTGAGATCTATCGAGACCCAGCTCACTGGGACAATGTTCAAAAACATAAGTTGCAACTGTTTCAATGATATTAATTTTCAATATGATCGGTGTCGAGATAAAAAAAATGATTGAAATAATAATTGTATTAGTGCAAAGTTTGAGTTGTATTATTACCGTAGAACTTGAGATATTAAATTTTGTTTATATGTAGTTTGGAATTTGTCTCTGTTTCCTTTCCATTCTTATCATTGAATGGCATGAAGACATGAAGAGATCCAACAAAGAAAGAAATAATAGGGTAAAAAGAATTTTAATCACCACACTGTCAAATGCAGAAAGAGTACAACTTAGCTTACTTAGGTCGTCGATTATCCTGATCTTCTAGCGTTTCCTCCAAATCTTCTAGACCTTCGTTTTCATCCAATTGTGCCCAAGATTTTAATTCATCCCGTGTTAACGTTGCAATCTTCTTTTCTAAATGCACGCAATAACAATTAATTATCGAGCAAACAGTTCGAACAGAAATAATGAAAAATTACCAGAAATGAATAGTTACCTTCTTCTTGTTTCATTTTTTCCACTTCATCTTGACTGAGAAAACTGAATACTTTGTCTACCATGAGAAACAGAAATGATTAAGTTTTTGATTCCTACCAATTAGAATTAAATTGTTTGATTATTAACGAACCTGGTTTAGGAGAAGGTTTCAAATGTTCCTCCATGGCACTTTCAAACAATTTCTTCTTATCGCTAACTGACATTTTCACTAACGGCGGTGTCGGCGACGTTGTTGGTGATAGCTGTATTTTGAAACATTATATTAATAACAAAACGATAGAAAATAATATAAATAATATAATAATGTTCTAACAGAACTGCATGCAGTAATCTTATCTGTTGTAATGTATCATTTCTCTGTAATGTTAACACAACTAATGGTGTCTACCCCATGTGCTTACTTTCACCTGTTGCACACATGCTGATGCAACGTTTCCTAACGTGTACCCATGTAATGCAATATATTTTAGTTATCCTAAGAGGTACCAATGAAATTATCTCTGCTAATCAAGCGTTTCTTACTCTCCAAGTATACATTGAAACATGTTACAAAGATGGTGAACAGAGATGACTTCATCAATGCTCCCTATTATAATACAATTTAAGTCGAATGCAATGAATTTTTGTGATTCAAACGTACCAACATTCTTAGTACTAAGTATCAAGTAAAAGTGTCACGTTAGTACTAGTTAATCATGCTTGTTGAACCCACCTCAACCTGAATATTCCCATCAACAGAGCGTGCGTTCTGTCGTTTGCTAAAGGAAGTCGAAGTGCCAAGATGCCTGATGGATTCGGGAGCAGTCAAAGGAGTAGGAGGAAGTTTGAAACGAGTATGAGTCTCGGTAGGGCTCTGATAAACTTTTTTATAAGAGGCAATTTGTGGTTCAGATGTGAATTTGTCATGCAGAGAAGAATATTGCTTTTCTCTGATCTTGGTAGGAGAAGTATGACTAACAGATTCTTTAGAAACAGGAGGAAGATCTGCGAAGGTAATGCTACGTTTCGGTATAGAACTTTTTTTCCTTGGCGAAGGTAAGGTTTGGGTGGTGGTAGTAGTAGTAGTACGATCAACATTCGTTGACGGAGTAAGAGTAGAGACCGGAGACTTGGTTGACGAATAATCCACTGGTGTTCCAGCTCTTTCTTTCCTTAGTGACTGAGTAAATAACACGAAGAATTGTATTAGTAATATTAATGCAATGCTTAATGCAATCTAATTGTACAATAAAAAAGTAAATGTTTATATTAAATTATACAACTATCATTATGTATAAATCAACGCGCTAAGATTAATTTCTATGCTATTAAACAAAAATCCACATTCCTTCTTCTCTCTCTCTCTCGCTCTCTCGCTTTCTCTCTCTCTCTCTTTCTCTCTCTCTCTGTCTCTCTGAGGGACTAGCAATTATATTTTAGAAAAAGATTTATTTTC